CCCAGGGCCTCTGCGCCCTCGCCACTCTGCGCCTGCGTGCCGTCGGGCTGTCCGCGGAGCTGCCTGAGGCCCCGCGGGGAACACTGGCACTTGACGCAGAGACGCCTTTGGGGCTCCTGTTTTTTGCCACTTTCCCACTCAGGCTGTCAGCGGATTCCTTTGCTCCTTGTTTTCTGGGCGGGGTCGCCGTGCTTTTCACTTCTTGAAGTTTCTTGCAGGCCCGGGAGAGGCGGAGGCGCAGACCTGCGGGGGCCTCGAGCTGCAGCCCGGAAGTGCGCGCAGCCAGAGGTGGCGGGTCTGTGGGTGCGGGCGGCTCNGGTGCAGGCGGCTCCAGCAGCAGCAGCAGCAGCAGCGGCGGCGGCCCGAGGACACGGAGGACGGCGCTGAAGGCGGCAGGAAGCGCAATGACGCGGTAGGAGCCGGGGCGGGAGCGGGCCGGCGCCCCACGTGGGCCTCCCAGACTCCGAGACCTGTGGGGCGGCTCCTCGAGTCCTGAGTAGATTCCCCTTTTGTTTCTCAGGGGTGGGAAGGCGGGTATCCCGAGATCGTCAAGGAGAACAAGCTGTTCGAGCACTACTACCAGGAGCTCAAGATTGTACCAGAGGGCGAGTGGGACCAGTTCATGGAAGCGCTCAGGGAGCCCCTCCCGGCCACTTTAAGAATTACTGGTTACAAAAGGTAAGGGGCCGTGCATTTATTTCCTCGAGAGTTGCGGTTGAGATGTCTAAGGTTAAAATCTAAAAACGAGAGTTTCCCTGAGAAGCGTTACAGTGTTAGAGAACTACAGCATTTCAGCGGTGTGGATCCTAGAGTCTTGAAGCATCGAGTGGGGAGCACAGGGTCCAGTGAAATAGGTCAGGGGGTTATTGTGATATGGGAGGTTAGAATAAGAAATGAAAATGCAGCCCGGCCAGCGTGGCTCAGCGGTTGAGCGTCGACCTAGGATCCTGGCTATCGGGGTTCGATTCCCGGTCAGGGCACATGCCCCGGTTGCAGGCTCCATCCCCAGTCGGGGGCGTGCAGGAGGCAGCGGATCAATGACTCTCACGTCATTAAGTTCCTCTCTCTCTCTCTCTCTNTCTCTCTCTCTCTCTCTCTCTCTCTCTCTCTCTCTCTCTCTCTCCCCCTCCCCCCCCCTTTCCTCTCTGAAATCAGTAAAGATATATTTAAAAAAAAAAAAGAAAATGCAATCTGAGAAAGGGTGGACCCCTGGGGATTCGGGAGCTGAGGATGTCTACCCTTTGGAACACATGAAAATGTCCAGCATTACGGGGTTTGGGTAAAGCTGTTTCTCTTTCTCTGTCTTTATATACAGGGTGCCCCCCCC